CCCCCCGACATGTAACAACGGGTACTTGTTTGTACCTGTTGGAAACTGAGCACCGGCCAACTCTCACAAGCACCGCTCTTTGCAGTGCTGTGGGTTTTGGTGAGTGTCCTGCACCCAGCTGGTCTGCCACCTCCTGCCTCTGCAAACCTCAGTGCTGCTCCTCTGTGCCCTTCCTAAACCCAAGTCCCAACTGCCTTAGTCTCCTCTCACAGCAGCGGCACCATTCCCTTTGTGGTGTCAGCTGCCCTCCTCTGGACCACCCCTAACTCCCCTAAATCCATCGTGTGGAGCGGTGCCTCACTCTCCGTGCAGCACTGGAGCCACGAGTGCACCAGGGTTTTATATCACAGCGCTATGACTGCCTCTGCTGTGTCCCGTGCTTCTCCTGGCCATTTTGGTGGCTCTCCGGCTGTGCAGCATGCAGAGCCCGTGGCTCCAGAGGACAGTCATCAACACCGCGGGATCTGTCCTGCACTGCACCTGCCAGGCTCCAGCGCAGCACTCTGCAGGCGCCCTTCAGGTAATTTCCTTTAGATGCATTACCTTAGATTTATCTATACAGAACCAAACAGACCTCTTCTGTGTCTGTTTGCTGGAGGCCACTTCAGACAGTATGATGTCACCTCTTCACTGATTGCCCCATTTCCACGCACAATAATGTCCTGCTGCCCGGTGGGACTGGCTGCCATCCTGTCCCGGGGGGGCTGCTGAGCGCAGCCATCACCTCCTGGCTGAGGCGGCGATGAATTGCTCCTTTGTTTCGTGGTTGTTGCTGGAGCGAAGGCAGGTGCCTGAGATCTCACCCAAGCACAAGTGACAGCGTTTCTCAGGGCTGGTAAGGGCAGAGCTGATTCGGGAAAGGCTGCGTGTCACAGGGAAAAAACAGACAGCGGGACAATTTGGAAACGCAGAGGGAAGCATAGAAAACTCCACAGACAGACTGAATGCTTTTATCCAAGAGTTTGCCAAACGCTGCCTGGAAAAGCGTCAGCATTGCAAAGAAATGCTTTTGTTGCATTTAGGAAAACAGAGACTTTTAGGGAAACAGGGTCACACCATGAGTCTCAGACACAGTGTCTGCATATGCGCCCCTAAAGGCCCAAATTTGTCACTAAGATGCAGAAAGACATTTCCTCCATCTGTAAGACTGGTAGCAACAGTAAGATTGCTTCACCCTTCTGTCCTTGGAGGAGCAACAGCCCTTTAGATTGATCCCTTAAGAAGCCTATAAACTGCAGCTCTTCTGCACCTCAGCACTGTAGAAAAACACTCTCTTCGACATTTCACCTGACTCCACAAAGGACAGGAGATCTGAAAACTTGCCTTAATATTTACTTAGTTTGGGGATAAGAGGGAAACAAAACAAAAGAACTCTGTTCAACGCCCAGTTCAGATAGAGGGGACAGGAGTTGTGTGATGATGACGAGTCAGGAAATGGGGTGACCATAGGGAGCTTTGGATGAGGGCTGTGGAGATCAGCAGTGAGGCTGTTGCGTACACCCGTCGGTGTGCACAGGTTGCAGCACTCGTGTTCAAGTGCCAGAACCCAGACCTCCTTGCTGCCATGCACAGGATGAGCTAAAAGCTTTAGCAACCCTTTGTATACTTTTTAGATCGTGGGCAGTGTCATTTTGCTTAGTCGAGCTTTTAGCTGCCGTGAGAGGGAGGTGAACAACTAAGTTGAATAATCATGAGTCACGAGAAGGGATTAAATAAGTGTTTCTTATGCAGAGTGTTGCTGCTGGTCATCCGGCAACCTGAGCTGAAGCTTTCTTTGGAATTTGTGATATGCCGGAATTACATGTTCAGAGACAGCTGGGGAACACAGCTCTCTTGATTTGGTGATGCATTCAGTGTTTTACTAGAGTGTTTGCTCTAGTAGTGAAGTGAAGTACAAACTTCAAGGTGTTGTAGAACTGAGTCAATCTTATTCCATTTCTGTTGCCATATCGAGAATTGTTAAAAAAAATGCTTTGCGTCACTGCGTTCCTGCTCAGAGCACCACAGCTGAGCTTGGCCAGCGTCGTCTCCGGGGTTCCTATTCTCACCGCAACACATAGCAGCCAGCAGAAGAGAGCAACAGGGTGCGGAGGACACCAATATTAATCTTCACCTCTGCTTTGGCTTCTCTTTTTAATTTTTTTTTTTTAATTTTGGCTCTTCTGTTTCTGGCTGCTGCTGATGTCACTGCTGGACTGAGGGGAGGGAAGGGCCTGGCCTGGCCAGGAGCTCTGACCTGGTTCAGTGCCCTCCCTGGGAACTTGGAGGGGGAAGTGGAAGGAGCAAGTCATGAACTGCCTCATATTTCTCCAGTGTGAGGCTGCTGGGAGCTGCAGCACAATCACCGCTGAGCGCTACAGCCAGATTTATTGACTGTCCCACATAAATAAATAATCACGGGAACAATGAGCGCAGCACGATGATGATGCAGCAGTGTTGCAGAAAAGAACTGGAGGTTATTGTGAATGGCAAACTGAACTCAAGTCCACAATGTCATCCTGTTGCGAAAAAACTAACATTGCTAGGGTGTATAAACAGGAATGTCACATGTAGGACACGTGAAGAAATTTTTCTGCCCCCCCCTTCAGTGCCAGTTAGGCCTCCATCCAAAGGCAAATGGATCAGCTGGAGGGGATCCAGAGGAAAGCAAAAGAAAGCTCTAGAAATACAACCTATCAGAAAAAGATTGACCCCATTCCTCTCATTTGACAGAACAGGTGTCTGTTAACAGCTCGCAAGCTTGTTAATAGGGAGGTGTCTAACTTGCAAACTTGTGAAAAGCTGCTGTCAAGAGAAGGGGAATGTTTTGTTCCCCCTGTCTGCTGTTGGCGTGGTCAGGAAGCAGTGGGCTTAGCTTGAAGCAAAAGGAATGTGATTTAGGCACACCCCAAAAAAGAAAATATCTCTTACACACACCCCAACTCCACCACTTTGTAACAAGACAAGCCATTGTTGCTGGAGCAGATTGGTGGGGCAGACGGTGGGTTTCCGTCACTGGGGCTCAAATTCAGCGGTAAGAGGGGCTGACTTGCCTGTGCTTTGAAAGAAGGAGGTGCCTGGTACTGCCCACACCACTCACTGCAAGCTCATGATGTTGCCCCGCAAAGCCACCGTGCCCCTTTCCATCCCATCCCCATTGGCTGGTCACTGTCCCTGCGGCTTCAAGGCCATCAAGGGGGCAGCTGCCATAACAACGCATGCAACAGCTCAAGTCTCTGAAGTCATATCTCAAACACAGGGTGTGCACTTACATAATGTTTACCTGCATGTAAGCAAAACACAAGCATGGACAAAGTGTTTCTCTTCACCGTGCCTGGACCCAGGAACCAGGCTCACACGTTGTGGAGCCTTCGTCTCAGCATCTGTAACAGGGCTTGCAAGTCTTTTATTGTGGCTGATGGGCCCGTAGCTCACCAGTGCTTCCAATTGTCCATCAACCTGGAGTGGACTCTGTCTCAGCATGCTCGCAAGGGACGTAGTGCCCAGGCTGAGCGTACGAGGGCCCTCAGAGCTGCTGGACTCCTTGCCCTCCCCAGTGCTGCAGTGGTTTGTGGCTGGGGAGAGCCAGCTGGACTGCCCGGCACAGCGGGTACCAGGCTGCAGCACTGCATTTGCAGACACTGCTGTTGTGGGAAGCCCACGAGATGCCATGGTCATGAAAGCATTTGGTTTTTACATTCCCTAGTTTCCCTGACAGCGGGAAATTGCAATTGTAGGAGACAGCGCTCATTAAGGCAGGTGGATTAACGCAGCTGTTTTCAGCCTGGCCCAGGGTCTGGAGAAGAGCCCCACCAGGAGGCTA